AATAGTGCTGTAGGCACATGGAAAACATCAGAGAGTCATTACTATGTCAATAATGGACTGCAGAGTTAAGCCTGAGGTGTTCTAAAACATTGACACTTACCTCTAACATTYACCTAATTTCTATTCAGGCACCAAGAACTTGTGATGGCACTTTAGAACACCAAGTGAAGACTTAGAATTGGAGAAAGAGCACAAAATGTAACTCAACACAATAATTTTTAAACTCTAAATTCATAAGAATTATCTTCAGGTATAAAACATGCCCAAACTGACTCAGAAATGTGCATTTTTAGGAAACAGTCCAGCTGAATCTGACAATTTGAAAACCTTATATTAAAAGACTGCCTATACAACTCTTCATTTTACAGATGAGAAAGATGAGGTCTAGAAAATAAAATATTTACAGTCCTATTGGCAAGTAATACTATTAAGGAAATATCACCAGATCTTCTGGGTTCACTAAAGTAAACRAGAAGTTCAGGAGTTTTCACTGAGTATTGAAATTTCTGTTRTTTATGGTCTTGGTAAATGAAGAAGTACATTTGRGATGGGTACCTCCAATTGTAACCTAGATCTGGAAAAATCTTCCAAGGAATCAGTGTATAATCATAGAAGGGGAAAAGTAAYAGATATTTTCCTTCTTCCTACAGACCTAAGATTGAGTAAAYACCTTTATGGACATTTGGATCCAGGATTTTTTTTAAGGACATGAGTACAAAGGAGAAAGGAATGAGGTTTGCTTAACATGCTTACTAAAGCATTGGTTTGTATGTATATACATGATACCAGGACTTCCAATGGGGTGGTCCTTTATTACCTGTGTCATGGTGGTGGTGCTGCTCCTCACTCTCTGARAAGGGAGGAGTCCTGTGCCTGTGTCTCCTTTCTCTGTGCTCACCTTGCCCATGGTCCCAACCATATACAGCTTCCTTGCAGTGAAGCCCTGCTTTCTGTGAGGACTTTGGTGAAAGTCGATCTTGGTGTTGGGACTGTTTTTCCCAATTACGAGTTCCATGGCTACCATTAGGCTTCCAGTCATCACACTGAGTGCTCAGAAACACATCACCATTGATCTTAGGAAATGGAGGTCTTCGGAGCTTCTCCTGACTAGGCTTTTTTCTTTCATGMTGCTCACTGGTAATTTGRGCATCATCTCTCACTTTGCCCCAGCYGGAGGAAGACAGGGATCTCTCTGGTGAACAATGTTTTTCCAACTCTTCTAAGTTCTCTAGTGGATGTCTTGGTTTCTCTTTCTTCTGCTTCACAGTCTTTCCATCATTCYGTAGTCTACAAGACCTGGAGTATCCAGAACCCAATTCCCTGGCCCTCCTTGACCTTGGCTGGTCTGAGTGGAGGTATAGGGATATGAAAAATAAAAATGCAAATTAA